GGAATACGCAAATACATGCCTGGTAGTGCTGCAGTATTAACTTTCCCTGCAAAATTCCTTATTATTACAAATCTGAAAGATTTTTAAAAGTCTTTCATATTTAAAGACTTAGTATGTTAGGATACACACAACAAAATTCTTTTTTTAAAGATTTTATTTATTTATCTTTAGAGGGGAAGGGAAGGAGAGAGGGAGAGAAATATCAATGTATGGTTGCCTCTCGTGAGTCCCCTGCTGGGAACTGGCCTGCAACCCAGGCATGTGCCCTGGCTGGGAATTGAACCTCGATTGTGTGGTTCGCAGGCCTGCACTCAATCCACTGAACTACAACAGCCAGGGCCAAAATTCTTATTTACTGAAAAAAAGAGTGATAATGAAACCCCATGTAGGAGAGAGGTGGTTCTAAATTTGAGATTTTATGAACATAAAATTTCCTGTTTATTAATAGTATCTTCTACATACTGTACAGAACTATAATATATAACATGTATATATTTTACAAAGTATACATTTGTATGATATGTATATAATGCATTCTATAAACAGAATATTAGAGAGCCACTATACAGCATATTAATTATGTATTTTACATGTGTAAGTAACATGAAATAATTCATTTTTACCCATTTGAACTACCACTAGGGAATAGCCCCCTAGGAACGTTTCCTGTGGCTGTTATGAATGACACCACACTCATTCTTTAGAAACAAGCGTTGAATGAAGGTTGGTAAAGTACCTCTCATTTAGGGCATTGGAATCAAACGTCAGGTCATTGTCCAGCCATATTTCCCTGTCAAATGAAATACATTTGTTCGTTAGAGCAGCAAACAAAAAGCCTCTCTCAGCACGTATGTCCATCTTCCACTTCGGTTTGTAGGAAAGGGGGCTGAGCTGAAATCCTCTGCAGGGTGGCAGAGGCCGGCGGCCTTGGCAGCCCGGAAGGGAGGGTGCGCACAGAGTCCGCACACACCCGCGTGGTTCCCCGGGAGATGGCTGCAGTCAGTCATCTCCCACACGGTTGGAAAAAGGCTTGTCTCGCTGGCGAGCAAACTGTTATTTAAGTACACAATCCACTCTACTACTGAAACAGTTTTGCCAAACTTATCCAAGTATTCTAACATGCTTAAAGATGGTATAAATATCATTTATGGCTAGCAGTTTTCTTCAGACTCCACGGAATGTCTTCCTGCTGCCTGATCTAAGTGTCCCAGTTTACATTATGGCCTTTACTGCCACTGTTTGATGGAGTGATCAGTAAAAATTTAATGACACTATAAAATAATAAAAGTGTCATTAATTTACCACGGATCTCGGATGCAGTGGTTGTAAAGTTACATTAATAAACAGAATATTTTTTACAACAAAAAGCATTGTTACATGGGAACGTATAAATAACACACATAAATTTAAGAGCAATTTTACTGTTAGCACACACATTATTATGGAATAGCCAATAAGTGTATAAAACATAGTATATAAAATTTTATTAAAATATACTGTGCACATCAGAAATTCGGCTTTTATCTAAGTGCAAAGAAAAGCCATTACTGTGTGCTTACTGTTTCACTGCCGTCCTCTCCCCATCACAATTTCACATTCATTGCCAGTAAGAGGAAGTTGATTTTGTTCCCTAGATGGGAACAAACCTCTGTTCTTTTAGTTATCCTGCATCCATCCTCTGTCTCCCCTGATGCAAAGACGAAATGGATCAATCTTGCCATGGCAGGGAGGGTAAAGTTGCTAATTTAACTCGAAGTTAGAAATAATGCCTGAGGAGTTGACTGGTTTGTTCAGCGACTCTGGAAATAGGGATAATAATGCGGCAGTCTGTCTGTCATCAGTGAGGCTGCCCCGTCATGGACTCTGATAATATGTGAAGATGATGGATGCCTCAGTCTTGGGGCTTGTAGCATTGAACATTCATCAGCTCTCACTAAAGGGGGCTTTATCATTTAATATCTGTATTTAATATGCAGCATCTACTCATATATCATAATCTCAAAGCACTTAGCCAACAGTCCTACAGCAGAGCTGACTTTAATTTTTTTCAATAACTTTTATGTTGCCTGCATGTTTGTGACTGACAGCGTGTAAGTGTCTGATCACATTGCTGCTTATAAAATGCACATTTCACTGTCAACATGAAGACTGGGGAGTTTTCTTGGGGGGTTGATATTAAGTTAGCATTGAGGTGTTTTGCTTATATCTCCAAAATATCTTAGCCTGGGAGCTATGTACGTTGTGAGAGCTAGTTCAAGGGCATGGAAAAATTTGGAGTTAAGAACTTGCCACCCACAGTCTATATTTGTTCTGTCCAGGGGCATACCCACTGGCACTTAATAGTAGAAGTTGAAGCCCACTGGAACTAAAGTATCCTTGCACTTCTCTGTGTGCCCACGTCCCCGTCCTGTATTTACTGCTCATGTTCAGCCCCACTGGTAAAATCCTTGCTTAGCCCAGCTGTGCAGAGCTAACTTGTGGACATCAGGCCCTTGTATCTTATGGTTACGTGGCTGGTGAATAAATATTCTGAGCTATTCTTCGAAGACAAGAGGGTAGTCTTCTGGGAGACAAGGTGGAAATTTATATGAAAGGGCATGGCTTTGCAGGGTCCAACTTTAATGTCAAACACAGGTGCTTAATATTACCAAATATAAAATGCAGCCCCTGCCCAAAACAATTTTTATCATTGATTTAGTTTCTGACTATTTATCATGTGTTTCATGGAATATTCTTCCTCTACTTCTACTCTGGCAAAATATTGATATTTTATAAGGAAAGTATCTCTGCAGAAGAATTTTTTCAATGAAGTCAGAAAAATATATGACTTCAGAGACACCATGAATGTGTTAGTGAATGTTTTTGTTATGATTAAAAACAAGCTGATACTATTGAATTGTGAGTGCACTTCATTTTTTTATAAGAGAAAAGATATTATCATCATGTAAGCTTTGTTGTCTTAGGATTTTACAAACCACGGCTTGTAATTTTCCCTCCTCTCCTTCCTTGTCAAAATATTGACATTCTTTCAGGAACTTTATTTATTTATTTAGTATATTACGGAGAATATTTGCCGGTAAAATCAAAGAGAATGAATGACTAGAAAGGTAGCTTGAAATATGCATATTGATAGGTAGCAAGCACGATCTGTTGATTTTCAGAGAAAGTTGTTTTTCCCTCATGAAAATACAGTGAAAGGTTGTTCTTCCAAGAAGGTTGCAGGCATCACCTGAAAACTCATTTTGCATTTAATGTGAGGAGAGCATTCACATGCAAATATTTGAAATGGAAAATAATGTGGTAAAACAAAGGTTGAATATTTTGCTTTCCTGTGGTATTGCTCATCTTTACTTTAATTCTTTTCCTTTACGCCAGGACAACTAAAAGTGCTACTTCAAAAATAGAAAGTGGCTGATGGGAAGCAGCTGTCCTGCCTCCGACAACGTGTGAAACTCCGGCGTGGCTTGTGGCTGCTTTTTGTCGTGGTCCGCCTCTGGGTTAATTTGTTCTTGTGCGGCACTGCTTTCACGTCAGGAGATGCTGGGGCACCTTTTACCTAATCTGCTTTTTATTTCCATTCTGTTTTGTATAAGTGTCGTATTTCAGAGGTGTCCCCACATTGTAACTACTCAGGATTACCCTGTTGGGGAAATTCATGATAATAATTTTGTTGCTAATCTTTCATAGAAATGGTGCTTGAATAAAGCAAGGTTTATGCTGTGTTTTCTTCCAACACAGATTTCAACATATTCCATGATGAAGGGGAACTGGAAGACTTCCTGTGCAATTTGACTGATGGGAATTAATTATAGAAATATAATGATATTCAAAAATAATCATATTAGAAAGCACAACGTAGTGAGACTGTATAAATGAGACAGCCTCTATCAAGTAATTGTATGTTTGCTCCTTAAGAATATTTCCAAGTTTCTAAACATCTTACAGAAGAGAACACTCAGAGTGTTTCCATCTAATGCTGAACATGCTCAGTACAGAACTAGGTCACTGAACAATAGGCTGAACCGCGATCGGCACTCTCCTGCTGCATAATGCATTCAGTATAACATGCAGAAACCATTCCCGGAGCTGCAAGCTGCTATTTCATGTCTGTAAATTCAAGCTGACATGACATTTAATATTGTTTCGTAGTAATGAACAACAAGGTTTCATTCATTCATGAGCCCAACACAAAGCCAAGTTTGAGTCTGGAGAGTAGAGGCAAGAAGGGGACACACACTGTGTTTCCGTAGACAAGAACGCCGAGTTAGTGATGGTCAGTGAGCCCTCTGCCACCAGTCCAGAGTGCTGCAGAGGGAGGATTCACTGTGATATTTCAGGCTCCTGCTTCTAGAACAACTGGTGAACAAGTAAAACACCTCTGGGTTTCCCTCCAATGGTGGCAGGAGTATTTAACTTTCTTAACTCAGGGCTGACTAGAAGTAATACCTCCTTTTCACATCCCAGGAAGTCACAGTTGAAACTCTTAGGCAAAATAATAGTGTCGATACCATCATCTAGTCTGCCCACTATGAAACATTTGGTTTTGAAATCCTCTTGCATAAAATTCTGACTTATATTTCTTCCAGGAATACCAATGCAAATTATGATCTCTAAGTGGGAACATGCCTCTCCCATTAAATAGCAGTACGTATATTTTAATGGGAACTGTTCCTTCAGGTTTTGCACTTTTGGTTCAGACTTCTCGGTGGCATCCCTTTTAGATTGCGAGAGCAAATCCAACAGAGAGAAGGTGCACGGTGCAGCGCGGGCAGGTTTCCTGTCGCGGTTTCCTCTCCTTCCAGGTACTGCGGTTCAGACCTGCCTGTGCTGTCAGGGCTAGAGTAGGCTTCAGTGGACTCTTCCTGACATCCCCGCAGCCCAAGGTGAACAGAAATGATGTTTGTAAATCCAAGTTTTGCCCAGTAAGCAAGACAGAAACTAGAAGGAAAAAGCGGCTGCTTTGGAAGCTAGAATAAGCCTCTAATTTTTCTTCCCTCTAGGAAAGAACGCGCTTTGAGAATTTGGGGCCCCAGTTAACAGGAAAGTCAAGTGAAGATGGAAAGCTGGGCCCAGGTGTCATCGATCTCACTCGGCCAGAAGACGCAGAGGGTGAGTGGCTTTTCTGTAGCTCATTTCTGCTGCTCAGGGTGTTTTGGAAGGTGCATCTGAGTTAGCTAGAGGGAATGCTAGTCTTCATTATGTATTATAGTTGAGCACTTTGAGGAGCAGCTAGATCCTATGTCGCTGCACACAGCAATCCAAGTACTCCCAGGTGCCGTTTTAGTCTTAAAATGAAAGGACCCTCTACGTTCCAATGAACACCAGAATCCTGTTTCATTTACTTCATTGTATTCTTGTAAAAAAAAAAAAAGGACAAACATACAAAAGAGGAATGTTTCAACAACAAATGAAGTGATCTGCAGTTACTATGAAACCATTTGGGGAAGTCAGTGGTGGTCTGAGCAGATCTAGCATAAAATTAATAATGGCTTGGGTGAGGCCCAGCCTGGCGTGGGTGCTGACCATTACATTACTCAAGCCTTTTTGAAAGTCTGCATGGAAAGACTGGCTTCACTCTGTGTGTTTACCCACAACTTTATCAATGCCTGTCTGCTCTTCTTCCCTTTTTGTTTGTTTGTTTTAAAGGCACAAGCAGCAAATCAGCAGAAACTGCTCCCCAGAGGCAGGGTACAATTTATGGGTCTGGTCAGCACCTCAGCAGCGACGTTGCCCAGTTATTTACCATGTCACCACAGAGTAGGGACCGGTCTTCCTGTTGTTCCTTTGGCAGAATCCCTCCCAACAGTCAGGGAAGGTTAATTTGCTCTCCTCAGAATAACACAATACTTGACCTATCTTGGGCCCTGGCTAAAGTCCTTCTTTAGCTTCAGGGGAAGAATCTTTCTATTATTCCTTTTACTGGCAGTATTTCTTCCAGGACCTAATCCCTTGAAAACACATGAAGATGTTTCATAGCAGCATCTGCAGCAGCATAGCTAGTGATGGCTGCAGGCCACCCCAGGCAGTTCGGAAATCCCTGGCAGGAGCACTAACGGCCGCACAGTGTCAGACATTAGGAAATACTTCAGAATTTCCAGAAGGCGAATTTTTCAAACCAGTAGCAGAGACTGATATTTAATAATGATCCCAGGGAAAAGTAGTAAAACAAATCCTGATTAGTACATGTGTATTTGTGTATGGAGGGGTGGGGTGGGAAGGGGGAGAGGACGGGGAGGAAGGAGGGAGGGATAAAGAGGACTCACAACCAGAAATACAGTCTTGTATAAAAAAATGTGTACCAAGAGTATATTGACAATCACGTTCTTTTAAAAAGAATTTATTTATTTATTTTAGAGAGGGGGAAAGAGGGAGAAAAACATCAATGTGTGGTTGCCTCTTGCACACCCTCTACCAGGGATGTGGCCCACGACCCAGGCATCAAACTGGGTTCGATGCCCTAGGCTGGAAATCAAACTGGCGACCCTTTGATCCACAGGCCAGCAGTCAATGCACTGAGCCACACCAGCCAGGACAAGCACATTTTTATAGGCACTTAGAAGTGCAGATTTTTCTCTAGTGAAGAATGAGGTTCCTTAGCCTAGGGAACCAACATTCAGGCCTGGCCCAGCTCAGTTTGGTTGGAAGATTATACCATAAAGTGACTAAATCTTTGACCATATACAATTAAATAATATTTTCCATCACGTTAAAGTATTCAGTGTGGTCATTTTTCAATAAATGAGGAATTACAGAGTTCTATCTTTATTCCTGTTCTGATAGAGGTTTCTTAATCTGTCACTGATCCTTCTTCATTTGGTGTTTTACTGTATAATGGGTGTAACTATAGTAAGTTACCTTTGAGTAATACTAATAATCTAGTTGATGATAGTATGTTCTGGCTTAGTTAAAAAGTATGGTCAGAGTTCTTAATCATTATGAAAGGGAAAAGATGAAAAACCTAACTATAGGAAAAACATGTTGTATAAAAATATCTTTGGAAATCCCACTGAATACCACATTGTCTGGATTCAAACCAACTTTCTGGTTATTTTTTGGAGGGGAGTGGGGGCAAACATTTATCAAACACTTATGTGCCAGAGAATGTGCTAAGTTTTTTAACACACATTTTTAAATGTAAACATCATAGAGCTCTGTAGAGAAGACATTATTATTTTCCCATTTTATAGAGGAGAACTTCGAGGCTGAGAGCAATGCAGTAACTGACCCCGGGTCACCAGCTAACAAGTGTGGAGCTGAGAGTTGATCCCAGGTGGTCTCGCTCCCATCCCCACGCTCGTAAATGCTGTGCTATACTGCACGCCCAGTATGTACAGAGAAGTATGTGGTGCCTTCACTTTCCTGAACTAACTTCATGTGACCTTCCTCAGAATGGCCCATTTCCTCTCCCCTAAATATAGCAAGTCACGCTGTACACAGCTCTGTTCCTCTGTCGCACATGGCAGCGATGCCTGATGGGTGTAATCGTAGAAGGGCCATCGTGGCCCAGGAGCTTAAGGAGCCTGTGCAAACCTCCCCTCAGCAGCCTGTCCAGGGTTGCCATTGAGACCTCATGTGCCTTTGGGGGACTGCGAGTTCGTGAATGGAGTCAGGTTACGTGTGCCATGATACCAACAGCAGCACATGCAGTGCCTTTGTGAGGACTGAGGACTGCAGGGATGGGTAGCAGCCTTCTGCTGACTTCAGGGCATTTCCTGGCATCTGTTCAAGTGTGAGCTGATTGCAAATCCTGCTGGGGTTACAGTTCCTATTAAAGTCAGGGTAGATAACAGGTACTCATAATCCTTGTTCCACTTTGCTCCTCTCCCTGAGCAGGAAGAGTAAGAAGGGACTAAAGTGAAAGAATAAGTAAAAAATTTATAAACTCCTTCTATCAGTCTGTGGTCCTAAAAAGCAAGCAAGCAAACAGGCAAACAAATAATTACTTCTGGAGTGCCTACTGTGTGCCAGCCCCCAAACTAGACACTGGATAAACCAGAGGAAGCAAAACAGATATGTTCCTGACCGCTTGGAGTTGAAACTCTAGTGAAGGAAGGCAGAAGATTTAAAGGAAAATGTAGACAGACAGACAGACACAATTATCCTTGAGAAAAGCACTGAAAAGACTTAGGCTTCTCTGTGCCTCACAGTCACTGAGCGAGGGCTGCCCAGGTGAGCCCACTAAGCGGTGAGCTCCGTGGCTGCAGCCCAGGATGTTGCCCCTTCACAGTCTGTACGCAATCATGTCCACGTTACCTCTGGCCTTCAAACAAAAAAAATTTTTTTTAATTTTCGGCTTTACTGAGATATAATTGATATGCAACATTGTATAAATTTAAGGTGTACGATGTAATGATTTTGTACACAAATATATTGGAAAATGGTTGCCCCAATAAAGTTAGTCAACACATCTATCACCTCACATAATTATCTTTTTTTGTGTGAGAAAATTGAAGACCTGCTCCCTTAACAATTTTCATAGGTATAGTACAGGTCGTTAACTGTGTCGTCACACTGCCCATCACCTCTCCAGAGGTGAGTCATCTCACACCCGGAAGCGTGTACCCTCCAAACAACATCTGTCTACTTTCCCCACCCCCACCCCTGGCAGCCACCATTCTGCTCTGTTTCTGTGAGTCTGGCCTTTTTGGATTCCACGCATAAGTGAGATCATACAGTGTATATCTTTTTCTGCCTGACTTATTTGACTTGACACAGTGCCTTCAAGCATGTTGTTGCAAATGGCAGGATTTCCTTTTCTGATGAGTGAATCACATTCTACTGTATCTATATCATATTTTTGTTATCCATCCATCTGTCAATGTACACCTACGTTCTTTCCATGCCTTGGCTATTGTGAATAATGCAGAACAGCACTCTTAAGGGCCCATGTGCTCCCTCCACTTTTTGCCCCTCTTCCTGTGGGGCTTCTGAGGTGACTAGGAGATAGGACCCCGTTCCAGCCGGGCTTTCCTGGAAAATGCCTGCCAGTCACGAAAACACTGTATCACTTAGTAAGCAACTTGTAGACCTGCTCCGTAGCTCTGAGTGTGGAAGCAGCAAGGGAAAGGTCACCAAAACAGGCAGCTGTGCGTGTGTATTAACCACTCATCAAAATCAAATGACAAAACGATAAGCCAGGAAAACAGAAATTAAAAATATAAAAGGCAAATGCCTTCAAAATTTTATTTTTAAAGTCCAGCTGTTATTTGGCTTGAATATGACAAGACAGCATTTCTTGTTCACCAGGGTATTTATAAAACTACAAATTCATTGGTGCAGGGGGACTTAGGAAACACGTCTAAGGTCTTGTTACACTCGAAGCCGTGGAAGGCTTCATATGTATTGAACGCATAAAATTTTCTAGCTCTTAAATGGGACATGTAAGGAAGAGAGGACTCGATTAGTTGAGTCTGTCACCATGCATTAAGAATGACAAACAGCTGTTTAAGTTTTTATGGATTTTGCGCATGGCATCTCCCCTCCCCTTGTTCTCCTTAGGCGAGAGTGCAGTTCTTATCCCACCTCTCCTGATTTCAGGGTTGCAGAGTACAATAGGAAAAAGCTCTGGTCTGGTTATCGGGGGATTTGGATTGATGCTCTTTGGCTAAATGATGGCAAGCAAGGGACTAATTCCTCTGGGTTTAAGATTCTTTTCTTTTAAAAGAGGTATGTTGAATTCTGCTATGTCGCAGGTCCCTTCCAATCCAAGATTGCTACTAGGATCTTCATAAAACACAGAGTGTTGTTTTTATAAGAAAGGTGTTCTTTTCACAATAATGTCCATGTAGTTTTTTTTTTCCAGAGAAATAAAAGAGGAGATCGATACCTTCGAGGGTATATATGAGCCACTTGCTGAATCAGGTTTTCAAGTCCCTTGATCTTTTCTTTTTGTTGATGAGAAGATCACTTCAGCAGCATTTCTCAAATACCTTTCATAGGCGGGGGTTGGGGGGGACCGGTGGGGGGCTCCCTCCCTTTTCCCCCTCCTCTTTCCTCAGTGGCATGAACAGTGGCTTACCTTCTTTTTTATATTCTTTCTAGTTTGTTTTTTCTCTCTCTCTCCGACTGGGGGTCTCTAGAAGGATTCTTTTTTCTTTTTCTTTTTTTTT